AAAGGTTTGACTGATTGAGTTGACTTACGGACATAATGTGAAACTCGTTTCTCATGTAACTCATCGGGTTTATCAAGCAATATGAATGCCAAATCAAATCGTGACAGCAAAACATTTAAGGAAAAAAAAAACATAATACTTTAGATGTGTGATTTTAATTAGTTAAACATTAAAGAAAAAAAAAGAGAAAGTGAGTTGCATTTTTAGTCTCTTAGTATAGTTGATTCTAAGGAAAAATATACTACAATAATTTATCTATCAGCATTCAGAAAAACTTTATATTTTATTTATATGCAGAAAAGTCTTTACATTTTCAGTTACATTTCAGATTTACCCAAATATCAATTTTTTAAGAAATTATAAGGTTGTTTTCTGACATAACATTTATCTTATTCGGTTTTAGGTTGACATGGAAAAAATTAAACAATGTCACTTATACTTGCTTGAGTAAATGGCCGTTGAGTAAATTATGTATTTCTCACGTTTTACTTTAGAAAAGAGGCAACTTCGTTTATTTATGTTTCATTGTTAACCTAAAAACAAAAATATAAATGTTATGTCACAAAACAACCGATAATTTCTTTAAAAAACCGAATATTTGGATTAATATGAATGTAATTAAAAATGTAAGGGTTTTTCTACATATAAAAAAAATATAAGGGTTTTTCTGAATGGTGATAGATAAATGGTTGTGTTTTTCTATATTTTGCCCTTGATTCTATCAATTTTGGTCACAAAATGTTTTCTTGCAATTTTGGGACCAAATTTGCAAAAATTAGTTATACCAAAAACATTCATTTAACTGGAGACAGAGACCAAAAGCATTACATGAACCTCAAATAAATATCAAAACTACAACAAAAGCTTTTTGGGACCAAAACTGAAAATATTAACTATTCTCAGGGACCAAAATGGTAACTTACTAAAAAAATAAAAGACATACCAGCCTCAAACATAAATACCACGTGGTGAAACTGAAGCTGCTCTGGGAGGAGTTGACTTTTTTCTAGTCCAGGTCAGTACCTAATATTTGTAAAATTAGACATTTAAAAAAAACATTGTATGTATTTTTAAAAACTTCATAATAACAATTATGACATGAATGTCTCTTCTAACAGGACCTTATTGTGATCCATTGAATTCTTTCTTACACCTCCAAACAATGCCAATGTAATTCCAGCTGTTAAAACAATATATAATAATCAATTATGAATGACCCATGCCCCTGGTGGGAATTTTTTATTTTATGTAACTTTAACAAGTTTATGTCCATAGATGGAGGGGCAAATTGATTGAAGTATTTGACGAAACACATGTGAACCATGCTCTAAAGAAAATTTACAAACAAATTCTAAATCGCTTTGACTGAAAGTATATAAATCTTCGAAATTTTACAAACAAATTCTAAATCCTTTTGACTGAATGAATATAAATCCCTTTATTGTTTTTTTGTTACTTTTAGATTGAATCATATCATGCATTACGTGTTCGTAAAGAATGAAGATTAAAGTGGACGAAGTGTTTGACCCAATAAGTTTTTGGTAATAATTGGTTTAATCTTTTTTCTAAACAGATATTAGTGTCGTCATTGAAGTTAGAGTAAGTTATAGAAATGGTCTTTGTGGTTAATGAAATTGTGCAATTTTTGTCCTTGATTTCTTTTTCTAACAATTAAGTTCTTAAGGATGGGACTTGTTGCAGTTTGGTCTCTAATCTATTAGGCTGAAGGGAGTGGTGTCACTGAAACCGCACTCCCTCCTATGCCAAGTAGACGTCAACTCATATTTTTTCTTATTTCATCAATTTGAAACCGTAATGTGGGAGTGAGAAAATGGTTAGGAGAGAGAGAAAAAAAAAGATGATTGGTTGAGAGAGGAGAGAGAGCAAGTAAAAGAGGAGAGAGAGAAAGGGGAGTGCACCCCTGGAAGGCCGCAGTGCAGCCTAGACCGCACCTGGACCGCACCCAGGGGAGGTGTGCATGATGATGTGGCGGGTGGAGTGTGGCCTAGACCGCACCCACTCCCTCTGGTCTTAACGAAATATATTTGTTGTAAATATATGTAATATCTCTTTATTAGTTTAGCTTGATCCTTTTCCCAAATTGCT